TTGACAAAATTTGTCAGGAATCCACCAGCTAGGGTTTAAATATTCTGCAATTTGAGAAAAACCATGGCAGCAATGTGAGCGGCAGCAAGTTTAAGTCCAACCAGATTTATTCAATCAAAGAAGAGCAAAATCATGCTGGTGGATGAGACAGATTTTGATTATTGGAAGGGTCAGTTGGAAATATGAGAGTGTACTGTAAATGTACTTATAAAGAATATGAAACATGTATAGGATGCAGAATTTTCTTAGATTTAAATAGTTATCTTCAGACATAGAACAATGCATATAACATTATGATCTTCTGCAGATTAAAGAAGAATAACATGTCAAATTAAAGCTAATTAAAAGTTTTTTGCCTCTATATATAATTTTTAAAAATTAGGTGTTTTAAACCTTAATCCAAATTTAGGTGTTTTTATACCTTAACATGAAATTGAACCAAAATCTTTTGTAATCTCGGTGTTTTTAGTTTTAGTTTTAGTTTTAAAAATTATAGGTGTGATTAAATTTTGGTGTTATATTTTTAGGCGTTTTTTACCCACTCCAATTTTTGAGAAAAAAATGTGTTAAACAATTTTAGATTTTCATGAAACCACTCGGAAAAATAGCCTTAATAATTGCTGCTATCCTACAATACACAGTCCAATTTTTATATCATGTCGTCTTATATTTTCTTAGAAAGCATTCAGAAAAATGGATCCATTGGCATTGCTTGAAACTTTAGCTGAATTAAGTCTGAAAATTAAGACGATTATGAGTAACATTTTTAATTTTCATTTTGTTAAGAGATACTTCTTCAAAGCTATACATTTTCGAAATTATTTAAAATAATGGATAATCCCACAAAAAAAAACATAGAAACACTGTCCAAGGAACCAAGTTCAGGAGGAATTTCCGAATATTCTGTTTGTCAGTCTATCTGCTTGTTTCTGTTTAATGCTTGATCAGGAACCTGGTAGACCAATTTGCCTAAAATTTGTATTGGGGAACTCCATAGAACCACTTTAATGTTCTTGTGGTGCACTGTGCAATTTAAACATTCGGACCAATAGCAATTAACCAAGTTTACAAAAGATATAAATGAATATGTGTTTCAACTAAGAAAATCTTTTCAACCCAATGTCGTAGACCTTAGATATTTCAAACTATGAATTCTTCTAGATCAAAAAACCTAAGTTTGAAATATCAAAGGTTTTTGCACTCAGCGTAACAAGATATGGGGATGGGAAACTCCAAGTTTGTGGCAAATAGATTCTGTCTCTTGAATTCCATTTTACTAATCATTGAATTAGAAATTCTGAATCTCAAATTCTGTTCATTAATCACAAATTAGATTCAATCTATCGAATTATATTTCATATACATGAATTAAAATATACAAATTACAACATGGACATCATTAGGTGGCCTACAGGGATGTTTTCTTGGAAATTGATTCCAAAAGTAAATGATAACTTTTTTTAAAGTGTTTCAAAATTAAATTCCAAAAAATAAGGCAATTGATTTTTATAAAGTCAAGGGTGATATTTGGGATTTAGAGAAGTTGGTATTTCAGAGGGGTTTTAATTACACTCTTCAGATTGAGAAATGCTTAGTAGCCATTATTCTTAAACCAATCCTGCAAGAAAGAATGGAGCAATCTATGTTTTCTTTAGATTAAAAATCAATTCCTTGTCGACTCTTAAATGTATTACAAAACGTTTTATTCTGTTTATCTAAGCTCATAAAATAATATTTTTAGTGCAATTAAAAATGTTGTCAGTAAATTTATTTCTAAATTAAACATATTATCAAATGTTTTGTACACCCTTCAATCTTATTGTGTTTTGTTGAGAGCAAAATGTCCAAGGTACCAAGAAACCAATTTTTGAGCAAAAACAAAGTGCAAAGAACATAAAGTAAAGGTTTGATTATCATCCTGTTAACTGGAACATACTTTTTTAACAACATTTACTCTGCATATATTTTCCCTTCAAACGATGCTTTTTTACATATAATGTTTTCTTGATTTTCGTTTAAACAATGAACTTTTATCTCTCTCTTATCCGGGTTTGCAAAAAAAATTATGGTGATCAGTGTCATTTATTACTTTTTACCCTTTACCTTCATCTACACTCCATAAAATATTCTCTCCAAAAACTGTCATTTTAATAGTTTTATAATTTTATTTTAATTCAGACAATTCAACTCTGCACTCTTGGTATTTCACTAACCATAGAGTTAACCATGATATCCATAGCCTTGGCCATAACCATAACCTCCATACCCATATCCTCTGCTGTATCCACCATAACCACCATATCCATAAGAGGGCTCAGCATCAGCAGATCTCTTGCCATAACCATGGCCATAACTGCCATATCCACCATAATTTCTGCCATATCCTCCATATCCTCCATAACTTCTGCCATATCCTCCATATCCATAAGAGGCATCAGCTTCAGGCTCAGCTTCAGCAGACCTCTTGCCATAACCATGTCCATATCCACCATAGCTTCTGCCATATCCTCCATATCCACCATATCCACCATAACTTCTGCCATATCCTCCATATCCATAAGAGGCATCAGCTTCAGGTTCAGCAGCAGCTACAGCTTGTTAGTTGATAGTTTTATGTTTTTATTTTAATTCGCAAAGCTAAAATTTCGTTTCATGTGCAAATTTTGCAAAAAAAATTTCCAATTTTGCGCAAATTGCGCAAAAAAAAATAGCGCAAAACCGCGCAAAACTCATTGCGTTTCATGCGCAAAAATAGCGCAAAAATTCGCAAAAAAAAAATTTGCGCAAATTTTGCGCAAAAGATTTAGCCATTTTGTGGAAACCCTATGTAAAAGTAAGAGTTAAAATCATTTTTTTGTTTAAAGACAGTGAAAATCAAATTTGTAATAGTGATCAGTTAAATGAGGTCCTAAGTGTACAGCAATTTAACATGTTTAGAAATAAAATAAAAAGTTGGGCAATTTTGATGATCAGATGTGATTATTTTTTTATGAAAAAGCCATGCTTACCATACACTTCATGGTTCTTTATCTGCCAAGCTACAGAGTTGAACTGAAGAATGAAGAAATTATTCTCCTTTTATACAACTCTGTCATCTGGGTTAAATGTCAGAAGATGCAGTACATCATTTTACAGTTGTGGAACTCTCAGTGTAAATCAAACACATTAAATTACGATCCTTCTTTAAAAGCATGAGAATGATCTATCCTTAGTTGTGGGATTTGAAAAAAATGTGTATGAGAAGATTTATAACTTTTTCGAATTTTTTGGTTTTCTTAATTTCTCTTGTTTAAAGGCCAGGACAAAAAGGTATTTTTTCTGAATGAAAAGACAATTTTTTTTATTCTGTTTACTTTCAAGTCATTTTTGGGTTTAAAACAAAAAACTATCATTCTTTTATAAAAAGCTGTGTTATTAGTATGCCACAATTTTCATGAAATAGAATATTCTTCTCGGAAATATTATTGATTTTTTCATCTTTCACGCTCACTTAAATTCATACATTTAAATCTATGTATTACTTTAGAACTTTATAACAAATACATGATTTAAAGATTAAGTTTGCAACTAAAGGCACTAATTACTCGCTCTGAGTTCTGCAAAATCAAATAGTCAAAGTTTGAAATATTTAAAGTTTACACCATCAAATTGCAAACATTAAAAAAACTACAGTTGAGATAAGTAATCAGTTTCATCATGATTGACAATAACATCTGGGTTGTTTTGAATTATCCTATAAGTTATAGACTCCTCACTATAAAAACCATTCCACAACTAATTGATCTTGATTCTCACTTGATCAAGCTTCATGGAGAATGTAGGACTCAAAAGATCTGCATAAATGTTTAGAAACACTCTGTTCTCTTTGGCAATCATAAGTGGCTTGGCTCATTTTCTGTGCACTGCTTCCGTTGCTGATGGGTCTTAAAGAGTAAATAGATTTCCACAAGGTACAGATTGGGACATCTTGTTTGAGCCTGAACATGGAATCTCTTTTATCTGAAAACAGCTCAAAGAAACTCTTAAAGTTGTTTCAGGCTCCTAGATATTTCCATCAGATTATCTTGTTCATCTTGGTGAATGTATATACTGGGTCTTTCCGTTTGACTCCCCTTATACTAGTAATCTCCTTTTTAATAGTGATAAAAATAATACCCTTATTGATGTAGTTTAGAAATAACTATATTTTTTTTTATTTGGTGTCTCGATGTTGTTTTTTTAATTCAACCCCATTCCCAACAAGGAAAACACAGTTTTCAAGGAGATTAGCATGCTCGTGAACAATGTGAACTGGTTGATAATTCACTTAATTCACTGGTTAAAAAAAAAGAGTATTATTTATGTCCAATTCTTTAAAAGGTTTAAATACCCCTCCTTAAACAAGCCGCCCCCCTCCCCTCGATTTACGTAAAAGTTTGTTAATTAGATCGACCCCCACCACCATTTTATACAAATACATACAATCAGTTTGTTTTTAATTTTGCTGACAGAAACAATCTCAAGGAATAATGATTGTCTTAAAAAAAATTTTTTAAAAGTGAATATTTGCAAATTATCTTTTTTCTATCTCATGATCTGAGTTTGCTTCCCTTTTGTCCATTTGACAGCCCAATTTTTTTTCAATTATCTTTTTTTTTATTATTTTCTTGTGGTTTTTAACAAATTTTTTTTTATCGATTTTGATGGTTATTATATCGTTGGAACTGACAAGGGTCAACCCAAACCGAAATATATTTTCAATAAATGTGGAACTATTATCTACTTTTTTTTACTCTATACAGAGGGTTGGTTCATCTGCACCATCACTGAATTTTAAATCACTTGATTAATTTACAGCCCTCCTTATGGCTACTTTTCACGGTCTTGATGATTCATCCCATGAAAAGCAACTGTAAAAAACGCAGAAAAATTCTAGTAAAATTTCTGTTGTTTTTCACATGTTGTGCACGTAGCAAAGATACCAGTGCAAGATCGCACATATTGCCATTGTCTTAAACACAAGTAATGCAATGCCAGAATATCTAGATTTTAACGTAATCATAACATGTTAGATATACGAGATAATTCTATTCAATTTTCGTGGTTTTTTTACATGTTGTGCTTGCAGAAAATTTTCCAGTGTTAATCATGAGTAATGTAATGCCAGAATATCTAGATTTTTAATTCTTGTAAATATCATGTGTAAAATATATGAGATATCACGGGAAGAACTTCATGTTTCATTTTTAACAGAGTTGCAAATAACAACACTTGGTGTCTCTGCTCATCTCTTAGAAACTAAAAACTATTGTAGTAAAATGAAATATTTCAACTATATATTTTTCAGATTTGAACAAGGATGGGCAAATTATATAAAAATTTCACATTGAATTTTGTATTGTATTTCTCAACAACCCCTTTTTGGACTATCCATCTTTTAGATATAATAAGAAAAGGACATTGGTGTAATTATTATCACATTAACATAGTTGAACAATACATTGACTAAGTGAATATTGATCATTAAAGGGTTACATGTTCAATATGTTTAATATAAAAGATTTAAACTAAAATGTTTAGTTTCTAAACATGTTATACTTTTACACGGTATTATTTTCTAGAATATATTTATATATCAGAAATTAACTATTTATCCCCCCCCCCTTTTCCCAGGATTTAGATAATGCTTTTGCTCCTAAACATTTATTCTTGTTTATTTAAGCTCTAACATAAAATTTTTAGTAAAAGTAGTTAGAAATAATGAAAACATATAAATCCCACAGTTTTCAATAAAAGAATTGAGTTTTTGCCACAAACTCTGGTTTTAAATCTCTATATCTTTGTAACCCAATGCCGTAGACCTTAGATATTTCAAACTATTAATACTTATAGATAAAATAATCTAAGTTTGAAATATCAAAGGTTTGCACAATATTGAAATCAGAAGATTTAAGTTTGTGGCAAAAATTCAATTCCTTTGTGTAAAAAAAACCCAAGATAAAACTTTCATTATCTCTCCCTAAAACTGTTAGTTGATAGTTTTATGTTTTTATTTTAATTCAGACAATTCAACTCAGAACTCTTGGTATTTCACTAACCATAAAGTTAACCATGATATCCATAACCATGGCCATAACCATAACCTCCATACCCATATCCTCTACTGTATCCACCATAGCCACCATATCCATAAGAGGGCTCAGCATCAGCAGATCTCTTGCCATATCCATGTCCATAACTGCCATATCCACCATAGCTTCTGCCGTATCCTCCATATCCTCCATAACTTCTGCCGTATCCTCCATAACCATAGGAGGCATCAGCTTCTGGTTCAGCATCAGCAGATCTCTTGCCATAGCCATGTCCATATCCACCATAACTCCTGCCATATCCTCCATAACCTCCATAACTTCTGCCATATCCTCCATATCCATAAGAGGCATCAGCTTCAGGTTCAGCAGCAGCTACAGCTGTTGGTTCAGGCTCAGCATCAGCAGACCTCTTGCCATACCCATGGCCATAACCATGTCCATATCCACCATAGCTTCTGCCGTATCCTCCATATCCACCATAACTTCTGCCATATCCTCCATATCCATAGGAGGCATCAGCTTCAGGTTCAGCAGCAGCTACAGCAGTTGGTTCAGGCTCAGCTTCAGCAGACCTCTTGCCATATCCATGTCCATATCCATGTCCATATCCACCATATCCTCCATATCCACCATATCCTCCATAGCCGCCATAACTTCTGCCATATCCTCCATAACCATAACTAGCCTCAGCAGCAGCAACTCCGAGGAGTACAAGGGCAATCTAAAATGTAGAATTATGAGTTTAAACTGGTATGGTTTTAGTGTCAAATTAAGTTCACAATTTAATATCTTTTTCAAAAGTTTTTTTTTGGAATAAAGTCAACAAATTATTACAAAAACTTTAACTTTTAATTTAATTCATAAAAAATCCTTGCTTACCATACACTTCATGGTTCTTTATCTGCCAAGCTACAGAGTTGAACTGAAGAATGAAGAAATTATTCTCCTTTTATATAATTCTGTCATCTGGGTTAAATGTCAAAAGACAGGGAGCGCCATTTGAATGTGTACGAGAATGAAATATTTTTGTACAAACTTGATAAAAGTTGAACATTTTAAAGAAATATTGAAGAAAAAAAAAGATACATTTTAGGCAAAGACTCAATTACTTGTTCTAATTATTTGCTTCTTACACTATAAGATATACATCCTGGTGGTTTGTAATTTCACTAGAGGGATTCAGATAACACATCTAGATTCTATTTCTGGGGTTCACATTCAATTGGAGGAATTCAAATATCTGAAGCATATCTGAATCCCTTTAGTGAAATTATTAACCTCCTGGAAGCAAATCTTAATCCCTCCAGTCTAATTATAAACCCCCTGTTTTTATAAAAGTTTCATTTAGTTAAGTATATCAATTATATTAACGGCGTTAACTATTAACTAACTAATTTTTGACAACAGCTCCAGTTGTTTACAGTACAGTTATTACAGATTCAAGGGTGCTAAGCGTCAGAAATTTTGTTAACATATAATGAAATCATTAATGGCACAGCCTTTAACGGTCAATTACAGTATTAATGATGTTAATGGCTCAAGTGCCAAAAAAATGTTGTGAACACAGAAGACAAAATTTAAAAACTTCAAAACGTGTAAAAAATATTATTTTATTTTACAAGTTTCATTCAATTTTAAGCAGAAAGAAACAAAATTTACCCTTTAAAAATATATAAATTTGTTTTGTTTTCGTTTCCAACCATTAATTTTTTTTCTCAAAAACAGCTAATCTGTTTCATTAACGATTTAAAAACTAACGGCTTTTGCTGTACGTTAACAGACGATCTTCCTTTTATTTTTGAAAACCGCCGTCTTATTAACTAAACTTAGCCCAGCCCTAATCATGATCAGAGACGGGCATAAACTAAATTCTTTGTGAATGAGAGTTTCAGCTGGAAAATCAACAAATTTTGAAACATTTTCATATTTTATTGAACGATTTTTGAAATGGAATAAAAATTTGTTCTAAAACCTGATACACAATATCGAAAACATTCCTTTAAAGGGACTGTAATTTCAAGTAACCCTCCATGCAAATATGACAATGACCTATTCACTGCCACTGTATCCTCAAAACCTAGTTAACTAATCCATAAAGTGGAAGATATTGTCGTTTTTAAATGGTTAAAAGTTTTAAAGTCTGAAAATTCCTTAATGCATTTCTGTAGTAGAAATGCAGAAGTCCATTTTGTAGAGAAAGCACAATAAGTTAACAAAATTATTAACATTGATATCTAATTCATATCATGAGCAGAAAACGCTTTTATGGTACACTTATGAATCAGGCATTGCCATCTTTCCACTGCTTTTTGGAATATAAAACACTATGTCCATTTAACAAGTTCTTGTGACTGATTCTTGAGAAATTCTCCGAAATTGATCCCCAATTCCAGAGATTTTTAAGGGTTCAGAGTTTTGTGAATTCTTCCCAAGAAATTTTTCATGGAGAAATTCCTGAGAACTTCTACAAAATATTTCTCCGGAAATTTCTGAGAAATGTTCAGGTCTTGGTCATCAATTTTATGGATTTTTTGGGGAATTGAATAAAAGACATAGTCTCAAGAAATTCCTCAGAGTTTCTCAGGAATTTTTCCTGGAGAAATTCCTGAGAATTTCTTTAGAGTATATCTCCAGATATTCCTGAGAAATTCTCAGGGCTTGATTAACAATTTTACAATTTTTTGGAGAACAAAATAAAAGACTTAGTTTCGAGAAATTCCTGAGAATTTCTCTGGAATTCTTCTCAAGAAATTCTCAGGAGTTCATCACAGAATTCTCAAGTTCTGTTTTTCTCCAGTAGGTGTCTCTGAGGTTCTCTTCTTTTCTGTACTGCCCTAACTAAATCTTTTTTTCTTTGCATCCTTATTGATAAAAAATAAAAATTTAATTCAGAACCATCTTTTTAAAAAATATTTTGAAAAAATTGTAAAATTTAAAAATGTTTCTTGACAATTCAATTATATAATAAACAAAATACATGACAACTTCAGTAAGATCAAAAATGACTATAACATTCTGACTTGGAAGAAGTTGGAGGGGCAAAATAGATAGATTTTAAGTTATTCACTGCTATTGGGTCTAAGTCTTGGTCAGTGAATTTACTGGAATATGCTGAGAATATGTCAAGATATTCTAGAGGAACTCTTGCAAAAATCTTGGGAATAGTTCCCAGGAAATTCCCAGGAATTGGTTCTGAAGAACTTTTCTCTGGAAATTCCCAAGAATTTCCACAACTTTTGTCGACATTTTCTCCGATTGTTCTGCAGAAATGGTAGCAATAAATTCACTGGAATTGGTTACAATAAATTCTTCAGATCTGGTTATGAGAAATTCTCCAGGTTACATGAAATTTTCAAGAATGGGTTACAAGAAATTCCTGGGAATGGGTTTCAAGAAATTCCTGGGAATGGGTTATGAGAAATTCCTCGGAATTGCTGTCGACATTTTCACTGGATGTTCCTGTAAAAGATTCTTGGGAATTTCCGCAGATTCCCAGGAAATATTCCTGAGAATTTCCTCGGAATTTCCGCAAGACTGTTACCTGGGAAGTATTCAATATTAACAATTACAGTGAGAATCAGAAAACTCTGGAATAGACTCAAGTTATGAATTTAAATAGTCCATTGAACACATATGAAGTGCAAACACAGTTCAATTCAAAATAATGTGCTGTTTCAGACCCATTTATAACTTTATAAGTGATCTAATAAGATACCTGTAAAAACTATTTGTTTTGTAGAAACATCAAATACACTTAACTATTGATTAATTGTCGTCTTCCAATTCCAAGTTTTCTGCAGTTTTCAATGTACTTTTTACAATTCGACACCTGCATGTTACCTATCTTTGGGTTATAATATCTTAAGTCTTTTTATACTTTAAAAATCTGAAACTATTTTTTTGATGTTTATATTAAAGGTTTTTTCTGGCATGAGTCCCAAATTGTCACGCGAAATCGGCCAATTTCGATTAATTGCTATACTTTTTCCTTACAAATTTAATTTTGTCTCTTACAATTCCGTTTTCTATTATATTTGTTACTTTTAATATCTTTTATCATTTCATTAATTATTATATTTTATCATAAGGTGTGGCACGTTTGGGTCAATATATGTATCTTTCTACGCAAGTGCAAGCTAGATATGGTTGCTGCTATGACGCAAAAACCTGCTTAAATCTCGAAACCTGTGATCGTGCAAGCTTAGGTTAGAAATCAGCTGTTCCCCTCCCCCTTCCCCTCATACGACGTAAAAATATATGCTTTCCGATTTTAGTCAGGATAAATTAGGGGGGCGGGTCGTCTCAGAATTTTAAATATACATATCATGTTCACGTGCCATAAATTAAAATGGATATTATAACATTTAAAATATATTTCTGATGAATTACCCCTGTTTAGACCCCACATCTGTAACCCATGTGTAAAACCCTGTCAAATTAAACTAGTCTAAGTCTAGTGCAAGTAAGAGCGAGTATTAGAATATATACTCTTGTATTTTCCGTATATCAAACTCATAATGAATAATAAGTGACAAACTAAGTTTATTTAATGTGACATATTTAGGCTGTTTAAATGGCCGAAAAAGCGTAGTGCGAATTGTGATGTTTACGTCCTAAACAGTTCACCTATTGGTCAAACCAATTTTTGGTAATTTCCTAGTATACGATTTTTGGACCCCCCCCCCCCCCCCCCCCTCCTATCAATTTTGTACATGGGTCTTAA